CACCGTGAAAAGATGAAAAAACTTGCTGGCGCTAGCCCTTCGTACGTCGGAGTAAAAGAGTTTAAAGAAAGAACCTTTGTTTTTATCTAAAATAGAAACAAGAGGTTTATTTATTTTTAATATAAATATATACAATAGTCGTATAGACTACTTATGAATTTTATTGTAAATTTTATAAACTTTATTTTATTTCTTGATTTACATATTAATGTAGTTTAGAATTGGGTTGGCTGTGGTTTCTTGCAGAAACAAAATGGCGGCATCAGTAGACGAGTATTTGAAGGCAGCAGTCGAAGTAGCAAAGAAAGCTAGCGAGGTATTTCATATTTTAATTTTATTTGTAAAGATTTTGAATATGACGTTAATTGATAATGTCAAGTTACATATACTGGCCTTCAAATCATTTACACAAAAATAAGACTGCTTTTCGAAATAACACGTACATACATACAACACTCCTCATGGGAAGTAAAAGCTTTGCAGCATTTATTTCTGTAAAGATATCAAGAACTGAATATAAATTGTACTTTAGCAGGGCTGTCAGCCCTAGAAAAATTCAAATTTGGAGAACAAATACGGAAGAGTCGTCGTTGCAATTATATATATATTTCTCCATACATTTCTTTCTATAATTTTCCGTTGGACCCAGTCATTTATCTTTCCCTGCTAGCAGAGCCTATTTTCCTTTTGTTTTGGTTGAGAGAGAAAAATAGACTCTGCCAATGTAGGACGTTATTTCTGTGGCGCATGTGTGGCGTAACTTAGCAACGCTGTCATGACAGCCGCTCTCGTCAAATAATGTTTGGTGCCACGGTGTGTTGCATTTGCTCATGCGCACTACTTGTACCCGGTAAAAAACTGGTTTTAAAACTGGTTTTGTTCATCCACGATCGTGGAGGGCGGTGTATCAAAGGAAACGCTCTATATCGACAGAGTCTCCTTCCTCCCTGCCTGAAAGAAGGGAGAGAAAGAGGAGAGACTCTGCTAGCAGGGAACATTTATCTTGACTAGCTCTGCTACTTCTAAATGGCTGGCGCCCATCTATTTATACATCATCTCATAAATTTTATTATTTATAAATCCAAGGAGAGCCAAATAAAGAAATGTTTTTAAATGTTTGATGAGGCCGCAGAGTGTGTCCTTAATTTTCATCAATGATGAATGGTCTCTAAGGGATTTTAAGGCTGATCATTTATTCCTCTAGAAGTCCAGGACTTGAAATTAACCATTTTGTCCACTAGCAAACATTTGAATTTAGTTCTGTTTCTTTAATGAAAAAAATTGGTCATGACTTGAGAGAGCATATTTACATAGTTAGTGCATGTAAAAGTGGAGAGTGCAAGCTCTTCATTTTCGTGCAGGAAAACATTGTCCCAGTGATGCAAGTAAATTTAAACTGATGTTGAAAGCAGGTGTTGTAACTTCGAATCAGAAAAAGGTTTAAAAATAATTGCTTTATTCAATACAACATGAAGCACATGGTGGTCGGCTACTTTACGTGAGGCTGAGTGTCCYGTATGTCAGGGCAATGACGTCACTATTAATGAGATACTACAGCAGGGTGTAATGATTGATAAACAATTATTTGATTTTGATGGTTAAATGGGGTTTCTATTTAAGGTCATCAATGATGCATTGCACAAGGAAAAACTCATCACTACAAAAGACGGCATGAGTGATTTGGTGACTGAAACAGATCAGCAAGTAGAAAAACTGATCATAGGAACTCTTAAGGAAAGATTCCCAACACATAGGTAAATATATTATAGATACAATTCATTTTTTACTTATTTTTCTAGCCTTAGGGTCCATTCACTGATACATTGCCTATTTGCTTACACTGACACTTTCACTAACCACTCATTGACACCTTACCAAACACTTACGACACTTTACCAACCACTTACAGACACCT